CACATTCTAAGGTAAAGGGGACAAAGTATCACAAAGCAGGACTAAATAGGAAATGAATGTATTGAAGAAGCAAGGACATCCTACAAAAGTCTGAGGATGAATATTAATGGCAGAGGCCAGAGTTGCTGAACTAGACTCCATAAATGATACTGACAAAATGTCAGAGTTGCTGAACTAGACTCCATAAATTATACTGACAAAATGTCATTGTTGCTGAACTAGACTCCATAAATGATATTGACAAAATTATCAAAGTTGCTGGACTAGACTCTATAAATGATATTGACAAAATTATCAAAGTTGCTGAACTAGACTCCATAAATGATGTTGACAAAATTGCACAAGATGGAACCAAATGAACAGTTCAACTAGGAGCCCTTTGTGCTGTAGCAAAAGCACAGAAGGATGAAGATGCTGTGTCGAAAGCCATTTCCAGCTACACTGCTGGACAAGTTTTTTTTTTTTTTTTACATACTGTGTCAGGGTTTAGCAAATAAAATGGTTGGCCAACTTGGAGACCACATCACCAGCTTAGTGCTGATTGGTCTATAAAATATAGGTCTATCTTGGAAACAGGTCTTTACTTAGAGAGAGAATGCCTTGCAACACCATACCATACAGGGCACACACCAAAACAGGAGAGGGACATAGAGCTCAAGGTAGACCAAGAACAGTATGGAAGGACATAATCTGTGTCAGTGGTCGAGGCAGCCAGAAGGTCAAGAAGCAGAACCTTATATCTACCTTGACACCAGAAGCAGTAAAAGACGACCTGAAGAAGAAGAAGACTCAAACAGCTCAGCCAGATTAATGTTTTGATTATAATCTTAACAGAAGAAGCCTTTGTTGTGTTCAGTTTTTATAAATTTGTACATTTTTAAAAAAATATTTTTTCAAGTATTGGGTTTGTATTATTATTGGTGGAGAGGAGATAATTGTAATCATAAGTTTAAGCCACATTTGTGTCATGTGTGAGGTACTGAGGAATTGGTAAGAACACATACTGATTGATGATATGTGATGTATTTAACTCTTTTAGAACCAGAAATTTGTTACTTCCAACACTTTCTAACTCAGGGTATGTGTATTTTAGAACAGCAGTCTTTGAGTCTGAACTAAAAATGGTGGAAGTATAGAACAGGATAAGTTGAGGTAACCACTGGTGGGGTAGAAGCGATTAATAATAACAGAAGAACAGGACAGAAGTAGTTAGCCAGTGTATACTGTCTGTAGGGAAATCAATAAGTGTGTGGTGAGTTGCTTTCTCTCAAGAGCTACAGAAACAGAGGCGGACTTTTAATCAGTTGCAACAGGTACTAATAGCATGTCAACTCTTCATTGGTTACTGAAGAAGGAGGCGGAGCACTTATGGGAATGTCCTGAATGCAGTGATATCAATTCTTGATTCATTCATTCAAGAGCTACAGAAATCCTATCCTCATTTAAATAAGGAAATGAATCACTGGATGATTGGTGAATACAAATTTGAAGCGGCAGAGATGTGGTTTTAAAGACGAATGATGGGAATACCCTGGACACATAAAAAGAGTAATAAAGATGTCTTGAAAGAAACTGAAGAGAAATTATTAGTCACATCAGAAGGAGACAATTTGCATTCCTTGGCCATGTCATGAGAAGGAGAAAACTGGAGTACATTATGATGGTGGGAAAGTTGGAGGGGAAGAAGGGCGACCAAGAGAGAAGATGCTGGAAGTTTGACATGGCATGGAAGATAAATCTGTTTTGAAATTGATTGAAAATAAAAGAGTTAGAAAGTTATAGATAGACATGGCTAACTACCATGAACTGTGGAAGATCATCTCTGTCAGAATTTATTGATTGAAAGTACAGGAGACAGAAGATTGTCGATTGACATTACTTTATTCCCTTCTTCATCCATCACAAGTGATGAAGACCATTTTGCATCCAAACTTAATAATGATCAGGGATTGTGAGTATCAAGATGGCTGATGAGAACTTAATAATGATCAGGGATTGTGAGTATCAAGATGGCTGATGAGAACTTAATAATGATCAGGGATTGTGAGTATCAAGATGGCTGATGAGAACTTAATAATGATCAGGGATTGTGAGTATCAAGATGGCTGATAACTTAATAATGATCAGGGATTGTGAGTATCAAGATGGCTGATGAGAACTTAATAATGATCAGGGATTGTGAGTATCAAGATGGCTGATGAGAACTTAATAATGATCAGGGATTGTGAGTATCAAGATGGCTGATGAGAACTTAAAAATGATCAGGGATTGTGAGTATCAAGATGGCTGATGAGTCCAGTTCGAAGGTGGAAAGTTCTTGAGCAGTATGGACTACAGATGGGAGCGACAGTTAAGGTGAGATTTGCCGCACAGTTCTAGAAGGTTGTGGATAGACATGACTACCAACGCCACACACCATGGACAATAAGAAGAAGACTTGCCTGTTACTGAAGGAGTTAAAAAGTTAGTTGCGTAGCCTTTACAGGACATTGCAGGACCAACCCCAGCAAATTTTATTTTTTTTCTGTTGTGGTTTTTCTAGGCAAATTTACACTCAGTAATTTGCCATTGGTCTCTCTTGGTCTGCCTCTATCCCCTTTTTACTGATCTTTCCAGTTGTCAAGATGTTCTCCAGTGTATCTCTTCTCATTATTTAGCCACTGTTCTTTGCCACATAATGAGAAGAGAGACATTGGAGAACATTGTGACAACTGGAAAGATCAGTGGAGAGAGGGGTAGAGGCCGACCAAGAGAGATGATGCTGGATGGGCTGAAACGATGGCATGGAGGGATATCATCAAGAGAGCTGTTCCAGGCAACCAGGGATCGTGATCTGTGAAGATGCACGAGCGCCTAGGCCAGTTAGCATGGCACATGATGATGATGAATTTGTCATTGCTACTGAATGGTCAACTCTCGATACCCATGTCAAAACCAACGCAAGATAGTCTGCTGCCAAATCACCCACAGCTGGGATCAAACCTGGCACCCTGGCATTACAACGCCTTAGCCACAGACTCCAACACAGAAGAAGTTACATATTTCACATGTAGACATAAGGGATGCAGTTAGAGAGGGGGTTAGCTGGCACCTTAAAGAATATGCATTATGAAGACCTGATGCAAGTAATGATTATGCCAAACTGATTTGAACTTCGGGTAGAATTTGCTCATAAACAGCATCCTGCCCTGAAAGCTGAGGTGTACTGGCTGTGTTAAACAAATGTCATGGTGGCCTGGAGTTGATGGTAATCGAGTGTACAGTTTCCAGAAAATTAGGCAGAGGCTGACCTCCACAAAGGTGAATTACTAAAGGAGAATTATGATCGTGAGCCTGTGACTCTGATTATGAATCCGATTGCTAAAGGCGAATTATGATTGTGAGCCTGTGACTCTGATTATGAGTCCGATTGCTAAAGGCGAATTATGATTGTGAGCCTGTGACTCTGATTATGACTCCGATTACTAAAGACGAATTATGATTGTGAGCCTGTGACTCTGATTATGACTCCGATTACTAAAGGCTAAAGGAAAATTATGATTGTGAGCCTGTGACTTCGATTACTAAAGGCATTAGGAGAATTATGATTGTAACTCTGGCAGAAGGTTTTGGTCATTCGTCCACTTCTGGACTTTAGTCTTATTCCATAAGTTGAATTTTGCATGCGCATCTGTTTTACAGATTTGACTTACTTGTATGCTGACTGTTGATTATTCACCACTCAGGCAGATGAGCACTGACTTGGGAGGGAAAATCCCTTATTAGTTGCCTTTTACAAAATGTTTGTTGGTTGGGAGGGGGGGAGAGACTGAGTTTATTCTTGTTTCCCCCAAAATGGAGCCCCAGGGAGGAGGGGGGAAATAATGAGTGTTCCAATGATCAAATGCATGGTACTGGCTAATGTCATTTCATGTGAGTGTGTAATGACCTCGGCGTCAGACCGTCTTCTTCTTGTGTATTTTTTGTGCTCTTCTGTAAGATTATTATTATTCTTGACGTTCACCAGCTGCAGCTCCGGCAGAAAGTTCTCAGTTGTCGCCCACCTCTCGACTTTAATCTTGTTCCAGAACCTGAGTGTCACGTGCACATCTGTTTTACAGATCTGACTTATTTGTATGCAGACTGTTGGTTCCTTACCTCTCAGGCAAATGCACTCCATCTTAGAAGAAACCCCCAAATAGTCGATTCCAGTAGCATGCTTGTTGGTGGAGGCAGTGGGTCTGTTCTTGTTTCACACACAGTGGGGCCCTGGAACTCACACGGGGAGTATAAGAATCATAATCTTCTTTTAAATAGTGCCTGTGTTTGTAACTGCTATTGTTGTATTATATGGTAAGGGTGATGGCAAACCATTTATTCTTTTGATTCAGTGTCTTTTATTTTACATAAGATGTCGTTCCCAAAATTTGGTAATATTGTTTATCGCTCAGTCTTGCATTTTCAGATTTATGGGAGCTTTTTAATAGTGTCCATAATTGACATTGGTAGCATAAAGTATGAGTATGTTTCTTATTAAATGTTACTTTGTAGACATAGTTATTCTTGGAATGGCTTAATATTGTATGTAATCTATTCCTCTTTTAAAATTACTATCTGGTCCCCCTGGTCTCTGGGTAATGAGATCGGACGCCCGTATGCATTGTTTGCACACGTTAAAAAACAAATGGCAGTTGGAAATCGAAAAAAGTAGCGTAACGACGCTGCCAGGGCCAAATTTGGAGTTTAAAAATGTACTCAAAGTATTTCAGGCTCCTCGCCAGTGCTATAGAGCCTGTGCACTGTGCTGAGCTTCTTCGCACTCATACTTGAAGGACGGAGCACGTATGTGTTACTACCCATGTGTCATTATGTTTATCCTTTGTTTAAAACCTCAGAACCTCAAAATTGCTATCTGTCTGGTTTGCATCATTGCTTGCATACCTAATAGTTTTGCTTATTTGGCATAGTTGTGTAGGATTTGTTTTTTAGCTTTACTCAAAATGATTTTCTCGTATCCCCAGAGTCCCTGCCAAGTTGCCATTGAACCAGCTAGCTGCTAACAAAGCAGCCGCAACATCCCAAGCTGCTGCTGTAGCATCATCAGCCCAGTCTAGTCACATCAATACCAGCCACACAGACCTGGGTCCAGGAATGATCCTCCAACCACAGCCAGCTGCCACAAACCAGTCTGCTGTTGACAGTGATTTCTCTCCACTAGTTAGTGCCGCACCGGAGCCTGTACCCGAGTTATTACCTCTCACAGATATCTTTGTTTCTTTAGAACAGATACAGCCAGGTGAGAATATATTCTGTGCTAAAGTCACCTGAGTGACAAATCATTGTTTTGAGAAAATCACATTTGAACATTTTCTTCTTCTCCTCCTTCTTGAAGTCCATGCCATATGCTTTGGTAGTTATGTCTATCCACAACCTTCAGTCTCATGTACTTTCAATCAACTCTGGCACAGGTGATCTTCCATGTCAAACTGTCTAGCGTCTTCTCTCTCGCTTTCCCTCTGCCTCTCTTTGCCTCCAACTTTCCTACCGTCATGATGTATTCCAGTTTCCCCCTTCTTGTGACATGACTTAAGAATTGTCTCTTTCTGATGTGGGTAATTTTACTTGGGCAAAATGACAAATGAAAACCGTGAAAAAGAAAGTTTAGTTTAGTTAGTTTTAATTAGAGTATTAAGTCACATGTGACAGATCATAGCCTCCGAAAATGCCAGAATGAAAACGCCAGAATTAATGCCTTTTTCTGGTGCTAATTATATGTTTTTGTTGATTGTTACTGTTGTTACTGATTGTTGATTGTCGGAAAAGATGGAGTGATGGCATTAAGAACAGCCTTACAGAAATGAACATCAGTCTTAATAGTGCTCTTGACGGAGCTCATCAACGAACATTAATCTCCCCCCAACACTTCGATGAGGTACAAGGTGGAAGAGAAGAAGAAGAAGAAGTTGATTGTTACTGTTATTTAGTCCTTCACTAAGAGCACCTACATTTTACAGCTTTTTTGAGGGAGACAGAGCATCTGCAAGTTTATGCTGAGTCATTCTTAACTCTTTCAGTACCAAGGAATTTGCCAGACATTCATTGGTTATACTGTTAGTAGTTCACACTTACATACTTATCCTGTCCCATTCTGTGTTATATTAACCCCTTATTTTCCACTTGTTACTGTAACACCTTTTCTCCCAAGCTCCGTTTCTCCAGCTCTGTGGGACTAAATTAGGGTTGTTCTAGGATGCAAGAACACTTTAACATAGACAATGTTGAATTCAACACAATCTGGGACTGAAAGAGTAAAAACTAGTCAACATTCAATGTGAAACTTCAGATATATGCACTGCCAGAGATTGCTTGGATGTGGCAGAAGTTGTGAGGCATCTTCTGTCATCTGGAGAAGAGCGATGAGACATCTTCAGTCATCCGGAGAAGATTGATGAGGCATCTTCATTCATCTGGAGAAGAGCGATGAGGCATCTTCATTCATCTGGAGAAGAGCGATGAGGCATCTTCATTCATCTGGAGAAGAGCGATGAGACATCTTCAGTCATCCGGAGAAGATTGATGAGGCATCTTCATTCATCTGGAGAAGAGCGATGAGACATCTTCAGTCATCCGGAGAAGATTGATGAGGCATCTTCATTCATCTGGAGAAGAGCGATGAGGCATCTTCATTCATCTGGAGAAGAGCGATGAGACATCTTCAGTCATCCGGAGAAGATTGATGAGGCATCTTCATTCATCTGGAGAAGAGCGATGAGACATCTTCAGTCATCCGGAGAAGATTGATGAGGCATCTTCATTCATCTGGAGAAGAGCGATGAGGCATCTTCATTCATCTTGAGAAGAGCGATGAGGCATCTTCATTCATCTGGAGAAGAGCGATGAGGCATCTTCATTCATCTGGAGAAGAATGTAGACATTATCCGGGAAATAGTTCTGACTGACTGATACCTAGAACATGATTATGTTGATTGTTATAAACCAAGAAAATATTTAGCAGTGCTTAACTAAAGAGATCTGTATTGCCCCAAACAGCCAGAGATTGCTGGGCTGAGGCAGAAGTTATGGAGGGGAAGCTGCTGCACTCACCTGGCCAGGATAATAAGTAACCTTCTGGAAACAGGACTGCAGATACAGCATTGCAGATGCCAAAGATGCTGTGATGTTTTAAGATGCTAAGAAATCAAGAAACATTTGCAAATGTCTAACTTGAAAAGTGTGTCCTGAATTAAATGGGAGCTGCCGTGGTATAGTGGCTAGACGTTCACCTGCACCTCAAATGAGCACCAAGTAAAGGGGGGTAGCAGCTGGGTGTTTGCCTCTGGCCTGAAGGTTTTGTGTTCAGATCTACGTCAAGTCAGTTTTTTTCTCCCAGGTTTGCCCAGCCTAAATGGGTGCCAGGTAAAGTCCTGGGAAGTAAAGGTTTCTAAAATGAATTTGACCACATCACCCATCGAATGCTGACTGAATTAGAAAGTATAGGTCTAGCACTATATACTCGATGTCGAGGCTGACCTCTACTACAGCATAAAGATGTGTGCAAGTAGGGCCTAGGCTGCACTCTCTTGTGGGACGTAGGTTTGTAGTGGTTAGGGCCCGTTCAAGATGTTTTGGGGTCGTTAAAAGCATCAGAAAGTCGGAAAACCCAGTCTTACCACCCTCTAAAATGTTGGACTGTCCTGGAACGTCATCTGGGGTAAAATATTAATAAAGAATCCCCATTTTACACCCAGCAGTATCAATCTCATTGTTTCAGTAGAACTGAGAAACATTAACTTAAACCGATTACTGTGAAGCCTTATCATTTATAATGGAATCTGTTCTTATTACATACACAGCACCCAACATTCCTTCGGTAACGGCATATGAGAAAAACAACTTGAAAGTTATGGTTCACTTTGCTAAGGATCGACCCCGGGCAGATGTTGTCACAATGGTTGTATCTACCATATCCACCAACACCAGTCCCATCACTGGTTTCATTTTTCAAGCAGCTGTTCCAAAGGTTAGACATTTTTTACCGCTGAATTTTTAAAAAACAAATCTGTTACAAAGGTTATTTTATATTATTTAAGAGCACTAGACATATGATTGTCAGCTCTGTGGCTAAGTCGATGCGAACGCTTCATAATGCCGAGATGCCGGGTTCGATCCTAGCTGTGAGCCATGCACCTTGCATTGGTTTCGACAGTGGTATCAAGAGAGCAGTGGCAAACTACTGGACGTAAATTTGCCTAGAAAAATCACTCAAAAGCCACGGGCTGTTGGGGTTGGTTCTGCAACATCCTGTAAAGGATATGCAACTAACCTTAGACATATGATTTAGATTACAAATTATAAAATTGACAATAATGATTGAGTAGCAACTGCACTGCATTTCATCAGAAAACAAGAGGTGAAGTGATTGAGCCATTTAACTCAGTTGCCAGGAGACCATATACCACCGCGAGTAGCGATGCACCAACCAAATGAGAATCACAAATCCGTTGAATTAAGAATCTATATCATAGCACTCGGACACTTCCATAAGCGCTCCATCCCCATCTTCAGCAGCCAGTAAAGAGTTCCAATTCTGATGGTACCAGTAACTGTCTGATTGTATATCCACCTCACCTTTCCCCTGGGTGTTGAGCGTTGGCCAGATCCCCTGATAAAACCCTGCAGCGTCATTCTCCTCAGACTGTAATGATCTATCTGTGTTTCCGCACTGTTCACTCGCTCCCAAAGGGCCCTCACAACATTTTCCAACACTTCGGCATGACCTGGAGAAAATATCCCTGCTAACTACCTGAGACCTCTGAAGTGATGCTTGCCACTCTGCATGGAGCATGCATGTCTCTATCTTTTTCGACATACTCTGTGAGTCAGTTACAATCACTGCCAAAAATTCATGTGAATGATGAAAAAAAAAAGAAATTATGGTATCACAAACAGGCACTCTTCTGCAGTCTATTCTTCACCTCGGCATCTTATTCTTTTGTGTTCCTCCTTAAAAAGTAGTTTGCACTTTGTTTTGTGGTTGACAGCATGGCTGTGGTATCTTTTCAACTCAGCATCCACTTTTAATAGATCTCAAGTTAATCACCATTTTTGACATGCTTGTGCTGTAAGTCTATGTCTGTGTGTGTATCTGCCCGTTTATCTTATTTGTGTGCAGACTGTTGGCCCCTCTCCTCTCAGATAGATTCTTACCGACTTCAAAGGGAACACCCATATTTAGTCCCTGTCACGACATTAATGGAGTTTACAGCCAGTGTTAGCCGAGGTATCACTGTGTTTATCTTCTTCTTTACGTCCTCTTTTACCGCTTCAGGTGTCGAGGGAGATATAAGGTCCTGCTTCGTGCTTTTCTGTAGAGTTTCTCTGATGTTATCCTTCCATATTGTTCTTGGTCTACCTCTTGCCCTACGTCCCTCTCCTCTTTTGGTATATGCCTTGAATAGTATAGCATCAGAAGGCAATCTCTCCAATTGGGCAAACCATTTGATTTGCTGCTTTTCTATGTAATATAGAATTGGTTTTGTACTGACTTTATCTCATATGACCTCATTCCTGATTTTATCTCTTCTGGTCACTGTGTGTATATATGTGTGTATGTGTATTTATGTATGTGTGTGTGTGAATATATACATATTATTCTTTCTCTCAAAAAAATTTATATATATATAATTTTTTTTGAGAGAGAGAAAGAATAATATGCTTCCAAATGATGAAATGACCCTTACAATGTTTTTTTCTTCTTTTTTATTGTGAACAGATCATGAAAGTGAAGCTGCAACCGGCATCCGCGTCTGACTTCCCTGGTTTCAACCCCATCTTGCCACCTGCTGCAATCACACAGGTCATGCATGTTGCAAATCCTCGCAAGGTAAAGTTCATTCACACAGGGTTCACAGACATGGCACTGTTTTCTTTTTAGTCATGTGAAATCTTTCAGCACCATTCACCTTGTTATATGTCTCAGCAGTTTTCTTTTTCTTTTGCAGGAGAAAGTCAGATTGAAGTACAAGCTGTCATATACTCTGAACGGAGAATCCATTTCTGATGTTGGTGATATAGACGGGATTCCGATACAGTGATGTTTATCTGAAGGATGTGACCAGGATATTCTCTCTACAGATTGTGGGTGATTGAAGGGCTTTCCTCTGAGGTCTGAAGAAACCAGATTATGATTTTGTTTTATTTTTCTGTGGTATATTTTCCTTGCAAAACTGTTATCTAGATTTTATCAACCATTCAGCTTGTTCATTCTGTGAGAAGATCGTGGATTGGCTTGTTTGAGAAGTATATTGTTTGTGATTTTTCTGCTTGCATAAGGTCTAGTCCTTGCCCACAGAGGACTGCCAGTTACACTTGGCTGGTTGTAGCCATGATGGGTGCCCTAATTATAACTTCTTTGGAGGTTGAACCGGGAATCTGAGATTTGCCAAGTTGGTCTGCCGTCCAGATTAAGATTTTTTTTAACAACGGTAAACCTTTAGGTTGCAGCCAGGATGAGCAAACTGATCGATCTTGCGTAAGGAACTTTTTGTGTGTGTGTGGTGTAGTGGTTAGTGTACTTGTCAGCCAACACAGCTGTTGTGGGGTCAGTCCTCACTAGCGGCAGTGCCCATGCTCTAAGGTCAAGCAAGACATTGTCTAAACAGGCAAAAGACATCTGGGGAAAGTAAAGGTAGATGGTGTAATCTTCTTATTTTGTCTTTATTCCTCCTTAGGAGCATAGGCCATCAACTGTATTTTTTAGGTATCCATCTACAACTGTTGCCTTATGTCTTCTTCGCGTTCACTGGCTGTTAACTCCTGGTGGAAAGTTATGGTTGTTCGTCCATTTCTGGACTTTGTACTTGTTCCAGAGTTTTGCGTGCACATCCACCTTATACATCTGCATTTGTATGCAGACTGTTGGTTCTTCACCTCTCAGGCAGATGCATTCCAAAGGACACTTTCCTAATAAGTTGCCTTGTATGACAAGCTTGTTAGAGAGGCAGTAAATAGTTTTTTTTTTTGTTCTTAAATCCAGAAAGTATTTGATTAGCACACCTTTAAGGTCAACTCGAACATTTTCTATATAAAACATTTAGGAAAGTAAAAGCTGACCTAGTCTCCTTATTCTTCCTCTTCTGCATTCTTCTTCATGTTCACCATCTGTAAACTCCAAGTTCAAGGTATTTGTCCACCTCCAGGCTTTAGTCTTATTCCAGAACCTGAGTGTTGTGTGCACATCCATTTTTCAGATTTGCCTCATTTGTATGCAGACTATTGGTTACTTGCCTCTCGCGTAGATGAACTCCCAACTTTGAAGGAAGCTCCCAGTTAGTCGACTCTAATGACGTGCTTTTAGGTAGACAATAGGTCTCTTCTTGTTTTCCACACAATAGGACCTCGGAACCCACACAGAGACTTTTGCATGCATCGTTACAAGTGTGGCTGACAACGAAGATGAGTTAAGTTGATTAGTCTTGGAGTCCTAAAACACCAAAGTTAAGAAACAGTTGAATGGTACACAGGGGTACTTGGCAGACCTTTCAAGGCAAATTTTTGTTGTGAGTGTGAAGAACAATTTGTTTGAAACCAGGACATTTTTCTTGCTTAAAATCCTAATCTGGATGAAAGGAATTTCTGATAAGAAGAACTATCTCTTGGGTGAGTTCTCCCTTTCAGGTCTGCACCGTGTTTGAACTACAGAATCACTTTCTGACAGAAGGATTGAAGAAAATTGGTGTCAACTCTATGTTCTGTTAAAATAAAACTACTGAAGTTTTCTTAATGGGTTTTTTTTTTTTTTTTACGAGTCCTTACAGTCACTTTCCTGCCTGTTGATTCATCAGATTTGATTTAGTTGTCTCTCTCTCTATGCTGCCCACTAGTGATTCTATCATACCATTTCATAACTTTTTTTCCTTCCCAGACAGTCTGCTGGCTGTTACACTGACCATATTATCCATTGAGTGCTGTACAGCCATTGAAAATGCAGTAAAACTTTCTTAGCATGAACTGACTTATGCAGAATACCTGGTCAACATGAACACAATTTTGATCCCACCAGGGGATTAGTTGTGAGTTGCCAGTTAACGTGGATTTTTTTTTAACAGACTTGATTTTCAGCCCCTTGGAATTCTTGTCAACGAAGTTTTACTGTATTATTCTTGCACCTTATCCATCATATTGCCTCCGGTGCGTGTAAATGGGCTTATTTTATTTTTTTCACCTATAATTCACGTACAATGAATAAATAAATTTGAAATATTTTATTGATTTACTGTATTCTGCTTGTTTATTTATTTTGTTACATGAACATGTACAGTGTTAACTTGTATGTTTTATATATTTATGTATATTAAATATTGTCTACACAAAAACGTATGTTGTTGTTTATAAATATAGTTACGGACTGGACATGACTGTAGGGTTAATGTGTCTAAATATAGTATCTGTGTAGGGTTAGTGCTTTGTTTGACAGTTGGTCGGAGCTCACTGACAAAGTATTGTTCTTCTAAACTAGTGGCTGCTGCAGCTTCTTTGTTACTAGATTGTGACAGGCACCATCAATATTGGAACTTTGTGCTGGCTGCTGAAGATAAGAACGAAGCATGCATGGGAATGCCCTGAGTGCTATGACACATCAATTCTTGACTCAACTCATCTTGTTTGTTTTATACCTTGATACCAGCACTTGTACATGTTTGCATTTCTGCCATTTGGATACTAGCAGTTTTACATGTTTGCATTTCTGCCATTTGCCTCGCGCTCTGAAGGTTGCAGGTTTGTTTTACGGCAGTGCTGTTCAGTTCACAAGTGCAGTTTTTACGGAGGCCACTAGTGAACGTCGCCGGAGCTACAGAGGTCGTGTTCTGTGCAGCGCTCTCGGCAGGCATCTGGTTGTTCTGTGGATTGAGACTGAGCTATATGAGATAAAACCCGGTGCAGTGTAGTCGATCCTTTCGCCTTGACGTTTTTTTACTTTTCCTTTATAAGACAGTTCAAGAGAGATAGCTTGCAGCATGAGTAATACATGGTCTCTTAGTACTTCTCTGGTTCTAGACTTGGACAATGAACAAGCAACTAGAAAATCAAATTGAGTCTCTGGAAATGTGGATATACAGAAGAATAGGTGGTGTCTCACTGAAACAAAAACAATCGCAGAGGTTTTGAAAAGACTGTGGATGATTATTAAAAAAAGAAAACAGGCAACTGAAATATTTTGGCCACATTAAAGACATAATATGCTTTTTTCAACACATATTGAAGGGCAAGAGGTGGACAAAGTTATAAGTGGGAGAACGTCAAGAGATGGACAAACAGCAGTTTGAGAGAGAGTGACAACCTTCATTTGGGAGTTGGCACCTAATTGATTGGTTTAGTACTTTTGAGGAGGCACTTCATACCTGGCCTTAATTAGTTGCTACCACATGGGCAGTAAATTGCCTGCCTGCCTCCCTCTAGTACACTATCATTTGGAAAGATGTAAAGTTGCCAATAAGTCCAGTTCATCGTCAACCAATTCCAGTGAAATTTGACTAAAAAGCTTAACCAAATGGGGAAGCAGAAAAACCCCAAAATTGTTAACTTATGGTACCCAAGCTTCCGGGGAGTTACCCCGGTCAATAAATTCTCAATGCAGTCAGACATGTCGGATGAAAGGCGCAAATATCATAGCTTTGCTGTAAACAGGCACAAAGCAATTACTTGGACGAATGAAAAGTATGTGCACACACTTTGAGGTAGAATGTTTGAAAATAACTAACTGCCTGTGATTAAAAGAATCAATGAAGAACTTTTGGCACTGACTTTGGACTTGGGGAGAGAGCTGCTACTGATCTCCCTGCCTCTAAAAACTGCTGACAGGGAGTGTTCTTGGAGTCACATCTATGCTGGCAGGAAGTGTTCTTGGAGTCACATCTATGCTGGCAGGAAGTGTTCTTGGAGTCAAATCTATGCTGGCAGGCAGTGTTCTTGGAGTCACATCTATGCTGACAGGCCGTGTTCTTGGAGTCAAATCTATGCTGGCAGGGAGTGTTCTTGGAGTCAAATCTATACTGGCAGGCCGTGTTCTTGGAGTCACATCTATGCTGGCAGGGAGTGTTCTTGGAGTCACATCTATGCTGGCAGGGAGTGTTCTTGGAGTCAAATGTATGCTGGCAGGCAGTGTTCTTAGAGTCAAATCTATGCTGGTAGGGAGTGTTCTTGGAGTCAAATCTATGCTGGTAGGGAGTGTTCTTGGAGTCAAATCTATGCTGGCAGGCCGTGTTCTTGGAGTCACATCTATGCTGGCAGGCCGTGTTCTTGGAGTTACTTCTATGCTGGCAGGCCGTGTTCTTGAAGTCAAATCTATGCTGGCAGGCAGTGTTCTTGGGGTCAAATCTATGCTGGCAGGATTTTGAATTAAGAATTGTCATTATAGCAGTCTGGATACTCCCGGAAAAGCTCCGTCCCCATCTTCAGCAACAAGGGAAGAGTTTCAATTCCGATGGTACCATTAGCTGTCTATTGTACATTGGTCCCACCTTTTCCTTGAGTGTTGCCCAGATCTCCTCTAGCTCCTCGCAGCACCATTCTCCTCAGATCATAATGATCTATTTGTGCAGGGAGTTGCTGAAGTCAAATCTATGCTAGCACAGGGCCATCAAAGTAAAATCTCTGTTGTTACACAGTCATTTCAGGTAATCTTTTCTTGGCCTCAGATGCATGAATGCGTCTTTCTTCATCTGGCTCTTATCTCTTGACCTGCCTGACATCAAAGATCCTACCAGTAACTAAGCAACAGTCAGGATAGTTTTTAGGGTCATTGTAACTCAAAAAGCCCATCCATCTATCACAGCGGTTCTCAACCTATGGGTCGCAACCCTTTTGGGGGTCAAACGACCCTTTCACAGAGGTCACCTAGCCTAAGGCCATTAGAAAACACATATTCACTGAAGTTATGAAGTAGCAACAAAAATAACAGTTTGGTTGAGGGTCACCACATAATGAGGAACTGTATAAAAGGGTTGCGGCATTAGGAAGGCTGAGAACCCCTGAACTATCACATCAAGATGGAGACACAACAAAGGCGGGACCTGATTATTCAGAACTTGGTTCTCTCCTGTAACAATCTGAACAAGTAATTAAACCCTTCAAACATGAAATAAACACCTAGTGAACATAAGCAAACATTTATTTTTGGCTGCTTGATTTACATACAGTGTTGGGCCAAGTCATAACTCCTGTGAGGAGTGGCTGGCCGAAGCGTTAGAATGCCAGGCCCTCAAGTGGGAGACCTAGGTCTAAATCCTTGGTACGGCTGAGTTTTTTTTTTTTGTCTGGGGCAAAATTAAAATCCTAATCTGCACAGGTGTGGCGACAGCACTAGCCATGCTGCCTTAAATCCTAAGGCTCGCAGACCTACCTACCTACACTGCAAAAGTGATAAATATGCAGGCAATAAAAGCAGTTTTTTTTTTTAAATAATCCCTCTTTATTATACAGTACAGTTAATGAAATTATCCAGTTAACAATTTACTACAGAGAAATTCTGAAACTTTAGTTCATTCCTCTTCTTATGATCAATGCAATGTGGAATCATCATGTTTCATTCACAGCTTTCTGTCTCTTATGGCCAATCATTTCTTCTTCCTCTTCTTAAGTGTTCACCAGTTGTAAGCTCTAGTGGAAAGTTCTGGTTGCTTCTTCACTCCAGGACTTTGGTCTTTTGTTCCAGAACTTGAGTTTTACGTGAACCTCCATTCACAGATCTTGCTTATCTGCATGCAGACTCTCAATTCTTTGCCTCTCAAGCAGATGCACTCAGACTTTAAAGGAAAACAGCCCTAATTTCAAAATGAACAGTCTCTTGCTTAACTCATTCAGTCCCCACCAACTCACCATGTGCTTATTGATTACTCCATATGTGAAATGTCTTTTCTAAACTTTTCACTCCCCAAATAGCTGTTATAACCAGTGGTAACCAAACTGTTATTTTAACCCGTTTTGCACCTTACTGTAACTAATTTAACCCCTCTGTATCTAAACAACTATTACTGTAGGTTACAAGTATTGAGGAATCAACGAGGTAAGTGATACGTGCCTGAGACTGAAAGAGTTAATACTGAATCATCATAATCATCAAGTGCCTTCTTAACTAGCATGGGTGATAATGCCTCTCTGTAACCTGCGATCTCCAACAGCTTGTATCAGTTCATGTGCTGACACCCTTGTATCCCACAACATAAGGCTGTCAATCTTCTTCCTCAAACTATTTTCCCACAAATCTTTCTAGTGGTCGCAGATTCCAGCATCCCTTTTCTCACAACATAACGGCAACAAATTATGACTGTCTCTGATAAGTTGTTTTTTGGGCCCTCACCTCTTTAAATACAGAAAAGAGAGCCAGTGATATGATAGTGATTCTGACAGTAAGCACTAGTACATAATAAAGATGTCAACGAACAAAGAACACAAACACCAGACTTTCCATTCAAGCAAAATGAAGAAGAATTAAGCTTGCAAGAATCTCATCTCAGTCCTCTTGTACCTTGCGCTGTTCAGCTGAAGCTAGCAAGAATGAAGAGAAATTATCTGTACTTAATAATACTTATATGAGCATGCCATGTGTGGTCATGCAAGCCTTCTAAACGAAGGCCATATCAAACACTGTGACATGCTGGACAAAGAACAAAAAGTGCTGATTAGATACCAGGTTTTCTTTTGGTGAATGAGGGAAATCTACCGTTTTCAAGAATAGTCCCATTGCATCAACAAGAGATGTTGTAGGAGTCGACTAATTTGGGGGTTTCTTTGAAGTCGAAGTGCATCTGTTGTGAAACAAGACCAAAATCCAGAGATGGACAAACAACCAGAACTTTCCGTTGGATTTTACAGCCGGTGATCGTGAAGAAGAATTCTTTGCTTCGCTCAAGTTTACTAGTTTTCTATTTTTGTTGTCTGGTGTGTCTATCTTTCTACTTCCTTGTATGAGTGCTAATCAATACACTATCTGTTTACTTATCTATATTAATAAAAATGTAAGATTGCTTTCAAATTTTCACACAAATTTGCATTCAACTACGTGTGTGTTTTTATATGACAGTGTCGCACAATCCACTAACTAAATAGCTACAGCAACGATCACATCAGTTTTTGTTTGGTTGCCGGCCCGGAACTGTTTTTAGCTCCGCAGCTTTAACTGTTGAAGCAGGGCTGCCAATACGTGTCTTTTCCCCCATGATCTGTACCGATTGCTTTGACAATTTCAATTTCACACAGCGCTGCATTTGAATATGCACATGTTTTTATAGGTGTCGCACAAGGCATGACCTAGACAGCTCCAGCGAGGATCACATCGGCATCTTAGTTTTGTTTTCCGAGGATCCAATTCATTTTTCTTCTTTGCAGAGTTCACGGCACAAGTTGTTATTTACGCTGATAGGCGACCTTTGACTGTGGACCTCAGAAATCTGCATGAAGCTGGATGACGAGTTGGTGACAGATTGTATGGAAATGTTAAGATGTGGGCATTTCTCTGGTGAGGGAGAGAGGAGTAGTCGGTGGATTTTGGGGGGGGGGGGTGATAACAGACACTGTTAAATGAGACAGCTTAAATTCCAATTTTAGACTGGGTGGATACGGATGGCAAGGTCAATTAAAAATTTTTAGGTGATGAATTTAAAATCCTTCGGAGAGGGACGGAGGAGTAGTTGGTGGATGGGGGGTGGCAGTCACTGTTAACCGAGAGCTCAAAACATGTGATTTTAAAGTTATCAATTTCTGTTATTATTTCTATTTTAATGACGCTTCCTTGGCTGTTCTCATTTTTTGTGTGTGTGCGAGTGTTGGTCATTTAAAAGTACAGTAGTCAGCTTTACTTTCAGCTGTTAAAAAAATAACTTTAGCATGTGGTACACAAATAACTATATTTTTAAGTCCTAATAATAAATCACCACTAATATAAAGACACTTATATGTTGCGTGTTCTAGAGTCGGCAAATCAGACTATCTGCATATCTGCGCAGATACCAACTGTGATATTACCCATAAGACATGTGCGCATTCTATTTTCTTTCTTTCCCATTTGGCCAGACTGAGCCACAGCAAAGAGCGGTGGGAACTGCTAGTTATATATATAATGCTCTTTAACAAGCATGTTGTAAAAGGCGACTAATTACTGTGTCCCTACAAAGTCAAGAGTACAGCTGCCTGAGAGGCAAGGAACCAATGGTCTGGACACAAATAAGCCAGATGTGCAAAAAGATTGTACATACAGGCTTCAAGTTCTGGAACAAGACCAAACTCCAAAAGTGAACCAACAATTGGAACTTTCTGCCAGAGTTTACAGCTGATGAAAACAAAGAATCTATCTATCTATCTACTTTTACCCCACCAGGACATCACACAAACGATAAACACCTGATGACATTAAGTGCCACCATGCGGATGAGGATCACCGTGGAGAGGTCCCAGAAACCGCGTTCAGCCATTAGACCATATTTATGGTCGGGCTATATTGCGGCCCCTGGCAAGAGCGAGAGTAGGGCTTCAAATAACGAAAAATTGCATCTCGAAAGAAGATGCATAGTTTATTGAGTAGTTAAAAAGCAAAGAAGAAGCATGACAATCAACGAGACACTACGATGCACACATTATCACACCACGCATTATATGAATTTGCATGTCTTTATATTCTGCCAACCTTGCTCATGTGACTCTACTGCACCGTTAATGCAAATAATCAAATTAAACAGAAACACTCACTTTTCCTAAATGATTTACTCATCTCCACTAAACATTCAATTTCTCCTAACAATATGATTCTCCTTGAACCTATCATCTTCCTGGTACAGTTATCTCGCCTTTGGTGGAATCATCTTCTAATGAGCAACAATTTCCCACTGAACAATGAAGTGGTCTTGCATGAACACGCACTCCCCTCTGGTGTTGTAGTCACCTCTCAACAACCAGTAATTCCCCTGCGAAAGATGTAGAATCACCTCCTCCGAAAGCTACAGAAACCTTCACTGAATGTTGTACTCACTTCCCCTGAGCAATTTCAACCACCTGCTGCTGCAGCAGAATTGTATGTCCCCCGATCCTCCTGCTTCACCTCATGTTTCACCACCACATTCGCAGACGACCCTGGACTGCCGGAGCTACGACTAATCTCACTGTCTGCACCGGAAGAATCAAGTTCACTGTCGTGGGCATCATGTTTTAGACCCAGAACATCCATTGCTGAATACACACTGTGATTTTCTATACTGATCTGCTCCCCACAGTCATCAGAAGAGTTTAAACTCAAAACACCATTCTCCATCGAATTTAAAGTACTATCCATGTCCAAAGAAGTGTCCAGAATTTTCCCATCGCTCATGATGCACTGTTTCAATGGACTCACACCTATCTCAGATTTTGTAGGAGATGTCATGTCCAAATCATCGACCGAGTGGATGAGATGAAGAGGCTGGAGGTGAGAAAACCCAATGTCACTGCTGTTGACATAGATCTCACCATCGTGAATGACAATGTGTCCCTCTAACACCCCATTTTGAGTCAACATTAGCTGTCCGTCTGGAGTTATGACCATCTCTTCCGTCTGCCCATCCTCAGAGAGAATCACTTCCTGTGAAGTCACTACTTCCTCCTCTGTCACTTCCTGATTGTGTCCCACAACCAAGTCTTCAGTAAAGATAACTTCATCTTGAATCTGTAGAGATTAAAAAGCAAAAAAATTCATAATCTTAATACTGACAGCTGAATCTTTAGAGCCAGTTCAGGCAAAACAGAAACAATCTTAATGACAGAGATGAATCTTTATAGATAATTCAAGCAAAAATAACTAAAAACAACAAAAATATTTTAATACTGACAATCTCAGTCACATGTGCTTCTTATCTTTAAGTTCACCAACTTTATTGTAAGAGGCCAGTATTTTGGCACTGCTGTGAATAACAGATCCCCAAGTAGTCATTTACCGCTGGGCCCTTCTTTAGAAGGGTCAGGTATTATTATATATCTTTGGAAACAAATTTAGAGGGTTTTTGTGCGTGACAAAGTTGCATTCTTTTTAAAGCCAAAATGGTGTCATAATTCACATAGCACCATGGTCAAGGTATGGGTCACCGTATTTTTCTGTTTAGGCACAAGGGAATGTCTGCATTTAATTCTCAGCTTTCCCCGTGTGGGTTACGGATCCCCATTGTGAGAAAAACAAGACTAGACCCCCTGCCTCCCCAACAAGCACGTCGCAGGAGTTGACTAACTGGGGGGATTCCTTCGAAGTCAGAGTGCATCTGCGTGAGAGAACCAACAATCTGCATACAATTAAGTCAAATCTAATCTATTAAACGGATGTGCACGCAACACTCGGGTTCTGGAACAAGACCAAAGTCCAGGGGTGGACAAACAACCAGATCTTTCTGCTGGAGTTTACAGCTGGTGAACGTGAAGAAGAAGAAGAATTATCTGCTTAGCTTGTATGTACTGATTCCTCCCATTCATATATTTACACACACACAATTTACAATTTTTACACTGTAAGATGACGTTTTTAAAGGATTTTCCAGGATTTCCTAGGCATTGGGTCTTTCCACCATGGGTTTCTAGGGTGAAAGGGTTAATCCCATTCATAAACGCCTAATGGTAACAGTTTGAAACTTCATGTTACCCCAAAAAGTGCTTAATCCTTTTAATAGTCCAGACTGCTATGTGTTTCCAGTGACTGCCAAATTACTTGGGGAAAAAAACATTCTGCAAATTCTGAAGGTATTTTTTCGTGTGTCACAGTAAACATGTCTAGAAACAATATAAATCAAAGTTTAAACAAAATAATTAGTTAACTCCCACGACATATTTTTTAGGGAGGCAGCGGGTCTATTCTTGATTTCCCCCAGAATAGGGGCTCCAGGAACCCCACAGGAAATCTAATAGATGAGGTCCACGATCTCATGCCAACCCTCCTTGGTCATTTTATGCATGGTGGGTTAGTTTTACTATGCTTTGCCCCACTATTGGCCTATATAACAACTAGGTGAAACATTCAGCCAGTCATCATGTAGCAGGTCCTTTGCAGGTCCTTTGCAGATCATCGCTCTCATCACAGTCTGCCTGAAAGAAAATCGGTTTCTCGCCAGCTCTCCTGCCTCATGTACTTTCACACTCAAGGAGTCACTTATATCCTGTGCCCATCTTCGTGTTGGTCGGCCCCTGCTTCTCCTTCCTGGTACCATGCCTTCTGCTATAATCTTTTTCAATCAGTCATGGCGCTTGATTTGACCAAAGTATTTCAGCTTCTGAGAGTTAGCCAGTAGATATTGGAATATTTTAAGGAAATTTCATTGCCTAGATAAGATAACCAGAACGTACTTAAGCATCAGCCAACTGTTACTGTTCCCAGATATTTCTGAATTTCAGTACTATACTGTTTTTCATGGTCTGTGACTATCAAATATTTGAGCTAGATGAAGCACAAGCGGGTTTCAGACAGGGTAGAGGAACTAGGGATCACATCTTTAATATGAGAATTTTTGAAAAATGCAGTGAATACAACGTAGATCTTCATGCTTATTTGATTGATTATAGCAAGGCATTTGATTGTGTCCAACACCACAAACTGGGGACTATTATGAAAAGTATGGGGTTTCCAGCACATTTAGTGCATTTAATTGAAAATCTTTATCATGAACAACAAGCAGCCATCAGAGCAGCTGGTGAAACATCTGACTGGTTCGAGGTGCAAAAGGGGGTGAGGCAGGGGTGCATTCTCTCACCATACCTATTCAATATATTCGCAGAAAATATAATGAGAAATGTCAAAAATGACCGGACATGTGACTGCGACAGTCATGATCCGCTCAAAATTTGTGGCAACCCTATTTCAGAACTTCGCTACGCAGATGACAGTCCTTTCGAACAGCGTAAAGGGAATAGAAAATGTAATATTGTCTGTCCAAAAGCACAGTGAAGATCAAAATCTGTTCTTGAATTTAAAGAAAACGAAAATAATGTCACTACATACGGATGTGAGTCGTGGACTATCTCTCAGTCCTTAAGAAAGAGAATAGGGGCTTTTGAGCTGAAATGCTATAGATAGATTCTCAGAATATCTTGGACAAAGAAGATGAGAAATAATGACTTCTTAAAAGATCTGAACATCAAGGAAAATTGGCTAATAAACAGCATCCTTTCTTGAAAACTGAAATGTTTTGGTCATATCAAGCGCCACGACGGATTGGAAAAAATTATAGCAGAAGGCATGGTACCGGGAAGGAGGGGCAGGGGCTGACCGACATGAAGATGGGCACAGTATATAAGTGACTCCTTGAGTGTGAAAGTGCATGAGGCGAGAGAACTGGCGAGAGACCGAGTTTCTTTCAGGCAGACTGTGATGAGAGCCACGTTCTGCAAAAAACCTGCTACCTGATGATGATGATGATCAAATAATTTTAGAAACAAACAAATACAATAACAAAAATTAAATTTTTTTTTAACAAATAAAAGGCTACAAAAGAGCAAGGACACAAATTAACATATTTCCACACTCATCTCATCATCATGTACCAGGTCCTTTGCAGAATGTCACTTTCACCACGGTCTGCCTGAAAGAAACTCAGTCTCTCATCAGCTCTCCTGCTTCATGTACTTTCATATTCAAGGAGTCATTTATATCCTGTATGCAGCTTTGTGTTGGTCAGTCCCTGCTCCTTCTTCCTGGTACCATGCCTTCTGCTATTATTTTTCCAATCTGCCATGGCACTTGATATGACCAAAATATTTCAGCTTCTGAGACAGGATGCTGATTATTAGCCAACCTTCCTTGATGTTCAGATCTTTTAAAATGTCAGTTTTCTTTTCTTCTTTATCCATGGTATTCTGAGAATCTTTCTATAGCATTTCAGCTCAAAAGCCCCCTATTTTCTTTCTTAAGGATTGGAAGAAAGTCTACAACTCACATTCGTTATGTTGCTACAGGGAAGATGCATGCTCTCAAAACTGTAATTCTGAACACTCATCTATAACTAACTAAAGCTCAGTACTTTTGGGAACAAGACTATATATTATTTAAGAATATGAAAACATGACAAATACCTCCGGACTGTCTTCTTGTTTACACAGGTCTCCTTTATAAGAGCCGTCATCAAGTGCCTCCATGTCATCACAGCTTTCGTCAGAAGAGATATCTGGATACACACCAGCTTTTTTGAAACAATGCATAACCGCATGCCTGGTAATAACCCGTGAATATGCCTGACATGCCAGTTCACCAATGTTACTCCTGCTAATACAAGGCGAAGATGTGGATTTCATATACCGCCTGGCAGCGCTTTCATACTTTTTCTGCAGTGCTTCGGCACAGCCAACTTCCAACGGTTGTAATAGATGTGTGGTGTGAGCGGGAATAAATGAAAATATCACACCATTAGTCCTCCCCCACTCACTCATACCGACGAAAACATGTGTCTTTGAGCCATCTAATAACACAAGAATGGGCTCGTTATCGTACCGCTGAATCTGAGGCAGAAAATGTTCATTCAAATATCGGCGGAAAATCTGTGGGGTACACTTGCCGGTTTCAGAAACGGATGCGTTAACGTTGCTGGGTACGCCTTTCATCATTTCTGGCCGAAGTTTGCTTGCTTGGAAAACAAAAAAGGGTGCAATAACGTGACCAGATACACTTCCACATGCCAACAATGTCGTAGTAGAGGTATTTTCTGTTTTAACTTGATGACTGTTCCTTCCAGAAATTGACGGAACAGTACCATGATCTGTCACGAAAACATTTTCCATAATATTGAATATTCTATCGCTCTTCTCAAGCAACTTATATTTGTCGATGATTTTCTTAATCTCATCGAAGTAAGTTCTTACTGTATGTTCTGCTTCAGCTTTGTTTTTGAATTTACAACTAAGCTCTCGAATGCTAGGCCATCTGTTGATGAAACTATCTACCCATTTTGTTGTCAGTCCGTTGGCTCTAGGATTTCTCTTGCCCTTCTCCACGGCTTGGTCAGTAGCAATCTCGGCTAGTTCAAGGCGAGTATAACGGTAACCATACCTGGCCATAGTGTGCAAAAAATGAGCAATTTCAGACTCTTCATCTTTTGCCATTAACAACGGAGGCCCTGGCCTAGTAGTGTCAATGCTAATCCTTCCGTCGACTCTGTCTCGGAGTGTTGTCAGTGGCACTCCGTACTGCTTGGCTGCAGCATTGACTGATATACTGCTGTCTTTAACTGCTTTGTATGCTGCTTGGAGTGCTTCCTTGCTGTAAAGTTTCCTTTTTTTCACGATGCGCTTTGGTGAACCAGACACAAGTTTTCCTTTTCGACTAGAAGATGGAAGTGTAATAGACAGTCTTTTTTCAGGAGACTTCTTTAAAGTCTTCTTGGATTTCTGAAAAGAAAAAAAAAACAATATTTAAATTTTCAGTGGCATTTTTTTTTTTAAAAGCAACACATTAATAAAATTATACAATAACTGGTCAGTAAGTAAAGGGCCTTTTTATTGCACATGGCAATGATGTAACTTCTATTTTTATAGATCGGCTCTCGGTAGGTGATACAATCAACATATTGTCGGTCACCTTTCTTTCCCAGACATTACCTGGTGCCCATTTTTTGCTGTGTTGACCTGGTAGCCGAGGTCTATATTAAAAGAAAAAAATAAAATTGATGCGGACCCTTGGGCTGACAGGTGGGTGTCTGTCCACTATGCCACCGTGGCTAATTACTGATGGTTACTGTTATCTGCACACAGGGTAAAACTTTCACTTCACAGAGAACATCTGCCCTTAACTCCTGATGGAGCCTAGGCCTTTAACTTTTACCATCACATGCAGTTAACCCCGCTGACACCCCGCAACCCCGTCTTTCTTTACCTTATTCTCATTTCTCAAGTGTTTTCAGTCTGCCTTTATTCCTTTAGAAGGACATTCTGGTTATATTATTATTGGATTCTCTTAATGTTTGTCCTATCCAACGCCAGTGCCTTTACCTCACTTCTGGACTCATTGAAAAAATTTTTCTCTTTCAAAGTCCTACATTAGTTATTCTGCCTTACCACTGTATTGCTTCTCTTCTGTGCAGTTATAATAAGTTAGTTGCATATCCTTTATAGGACGTTGCAGAACCAACCCCAGCATTTTTTTTTTTTACTGTTGTGGTTTTTTTCTAGGCAAATTTTACATTCAGTAGCCTGTCCTTTCTTTCCTGAACGGTCACCTCTCTGTACCACTGTCGAAACCAAAGCAAGACAAATGTCTGCAGCCGGAATTGAACCTGGCACACAGGCATTAAAAAGCGTGTTCGGAACACCTAAGCCACAGATGCCAACTTTCTGTGCAGGCACCAGTTAATGAATATTTCCAGTTCATTAGTTTTGGATGTTCTATGTTAAAAGCAGTACCTAAAACAATAAGCACTTCCAGTTTTCACTCAACCAATTTTAATAACTTTAATATCGTTGTCTGCTTTTAACTCTTTACCGGGACAAAATACTTGCACGACTGTGATACAAATTCATTCAATTCTTAAGTTCTTGGATCTGAATAATTACAGCACACATACATAACAGATCTTTTACAGCCACCTCCATATTTTTTTGCCATGGAAATTACTTTTGCAAGACTGAACACAGATGCAACACTGTCAGACAAACTATGGGCCAGCAGTGAAGACATCAAGCACATCGTCCTGTTTGTGACCTAAACTAGAATAGATAGATGCACAGCAAATGATCACTAAAGAAGAATATTCAACCCCTTCAATCTATACTGCAGATATTTCTAGTATGGAAACATACTCTTTCTGGGTTAATGTCAAACAACAGCTTAAAAAATAACAGAAAAAAACTGCAGTCATGGTAGAGACTAGCATACCATTCTCTGAATGTCCCTAATGAACAGTATTACAGATGATAAAAACCAACCTGGCGGGGAAAGTTGAATAAGGCAAGATAGAGGCAGAGAGCAGAACAAGAGGGAAAGATCATCAAGTGATTGATAAACAGCATTCTGAGATGGTGTTCATCCTGGGAAAAAGACAAGTGTTCTGGAGATCCACTGCAGCCTACCATCCCTGTGCAGAAGGTACGTGATTGATTGATATAAAAGCTTCTTGCCTGCCATCCTTGAAGTCTCGAGATCCTCCTCTTCTTGTTTATCGGCTGTAACCTCCAGCACAATGTTCTGGTTATTCGTCCACCTCCGGACTATATAAGTCTTGTTCCAGAACCTGTGCTGTGTGCATATTTGTTTTACAGATCTGGCTTATTTCTATGCAGACCCTTAGTTCCTAGCTTCTCAGGCATTCTGCTGAGAGAGAGACTGGGCCGCATAAAAGACAATTCTCTCAAATTGAACTGTAAAACTATTATAATTAATTACTTAGACAAGTCTTAGCACAACCTACCCCCCCCCCCCCCCTTATTTTTTTTTTACTGTGTCTTTGTGTCTGCTTAACTAGGAATGCCTGGAAAAGGCTAATAAAAGTATAACATTATATAAAACTATAAGAAAATGGGCCTGTCATGAAAAAAGGAGGCATTGGAAAACATGACTAAAAAAATCAGCAGTTGCAGATAGAAATTATGAATGTCTAAGATGACAGCATGGGGGAACTATCATCAATAAAAATGTTTCAAAAAACGAAAGGACAAAATCTGAAGAGAATGAAGATTTATGTCATCTGGCAAGTTCACATCATGATCAATGTTGTGTAGTCTTTTGAAGAGGATATTCTTCTTCTTTGTCTTCTGTATTTGCTCTTAAAAGGGCATCTAGCACATTATGTAGGGCATCTGGTACACTCTGTAGAGTGTCTGACACATTGTGCTGTGGTTTCCCAGTGTGGGTTCCAGAGCCTTATTTTAGGGAAAACAAGAACAGACTCACTGCCTCCCCAACAAGCATGTCGCAGGAGTTGACCAATATGGGGTTTCGTTTGAAGTCGTGGTGCATCTGCCCAAGTGGCAAGGAACAACCAACTGCACACAAATAAGCCAGTAAAAAGGATGTACTCGCAAAACTCAGGCCAAGGCACAAAGTCCAAATAACTAGGACTTTCCAAAAGAGCTTACAGCTGGTGAACAAAGAAGTGTTGTGATTTACAGCTGGACTGCAATATCTGCACCTTTTGGACCAAAACATTCAGCAAGTCTTTATTTGGTTGTGATTGGCGATTTTTTTTTTTTTTTTGGACAACCAACTTGTTAACCCTTTTGCTGCTATATACTCCACAGCAGGCATGTACAACTATGCTGAACAAGATCAATGGTGACCCTCCTGTGTTAAATAAATATGTTGCTTTTCTTCAAAAGCAAAAGATGTGTCAACAGCACTGGGTTTGTGTTTGTGTACTGGTTTTTTTGCGCGCCAAAAATATAAACTGAGAGGTGAGTGGTTGGCCAGCGTCATGACAAGTTAAACGCACTATGGCAAGGTCAAGAAAACTCGATTTGACACTACACCCTTGGTACCTGGAAGAGGCAATGGCCAACACAAGCAAGCATGAAGGTGAACGCAGAGTAGAGTATCCGGCCCTCCTTTGAATCATCCCTCAAAATGGCGGCTGTAATATGATGGCGTTCGAAAGAGAGCTAAATTGGCCAATTTCTGGCCATAAAATATCCAAAAATATCCTAATGCGGGTCAGTTCTATTAAAAATATATGTTCCGGCTTCGGATAACGAAACATGCTCTGACAGGGTCTCGGCTATGCGCGGCGCAGATGGAGGCTAAACTAGATGGCTGGGACTCACGAGCGGCAGCTACCGCATTTCTTGCAACTTCCTCCAATTACTGAACTCGTGAGTCCCAGGCACCTAGTTTAGCCCCCATCCGTGCCGCTCGTAGCGGCGCGGGGGATACGTTCGGCGATGAGTTTAATCCCGTTTGGCGCATGCCGACAAGTCTGACATCTACCGCTGCTAAATCCTCCAATCGGAAGAACACAGCATTGCTAATCGTCTGCTAGTATCGTGGTCTGCAGAAACGCTCGAAATTGTTGTCAACGGTCTGTATTTATCGTCTGCTACTAGTACCGTGTGCAAATGTTGAATACTGATTGTCAAGTAATCCTAGTTTTGCCGCGATTTGTTCCTTGGCAGAAAGTCCGTATTTTAGATATACGCGAACACCGTCGTTCGGATATTTTTGGATATTTTATGGCCAGAATGCGGCATGCCGCCATTTTGGGGGATGATTGAAAGGTAGGGACTACAGTTTCGACAATTTGCGGTCTTTTCGGCAAGTTCCGTTACCCGGAAACCGTTCAGAACTTGTTCGGGAAATCTCGGCTGGTTTCCGTATGGGTCCAAATCTCTCATGAAATTTTTGCCATTGGTGGGAATTTTGGACCAGCTATAAATAGCTGAAAACAGCGTGGGGGAACCCGATTAACAGCGCATGTCTACGACAGCCGGACTCCTCTGTTTTTAGTCATCAGTTTGATTAAAAAATAGCGGTAAATTCGAGGTTGGCTTTAGGCCTTAAACATTACCAGTTGTGGTAATGCTAGTTACAGTTGAATTCTCCGTCCAATTTTACATTTGCATATTAAATTTTTTTTTACCGACTCTGGCTGTTTAGATTTACAGTGACGTTTTTTAGGCAATCGCATGCGGCTGAGTGAGCTGAGTCTCACTGCCTGCCATCTTGTCCAATGACAGTCCAATGTCAACAAAGCCGATACAGAACTGCGCAGTAGGTTTTTTCATCAAAAAAACTTCTTGTTTCTGGGTCACAAGTTTTTTAGCGGCTGTTTCTTACATCTCATCTCCACAAAAACCTACATATCTCAACTCAGAAATGACATAGAAGCCTAAATGAGGTACCATTGGAAAGAGATTGTTTACAGCTATCTAACTGTGCTGGTTTTATTGGTGTAGAGGGCATTTTAAAAATTTGACTGAAGTACCTAATTGAAAGGAGAGCTGAGTATCCAGTAAATTATAAAAGGAAATGACAATGACAGTTTGCTTACACTTACTGCCTTATTTATGAAAAAAAATGAGGTAAGGGGAATCGGGAAGGATCGATAATAATTGTTTCAAAAATGTTCTCGTTCCTTTTATAACCCCGTGTATTTTTTTTTTTTTTATAAATAAATAAAACAACAAAACAAGCAAGTCTGCAAGATGTGAAACCTCAGAAAGCAATGTTCTCACAACTGTTCTGTAAAGGACCAGTTACTGTTACAATCCATCCTTATATTTCTCCGAGTGTTCCCAAAAATGTGAAACAAAGGACTAAAACAGATTAAACTACTGCCAAAAACTGCAGCACTGTCATTATTGCTTGTATTTACCATTCTTCGGTGCAGGTAGCGAAAATTTGACAGTTTTAACTCTTCAGACGATGCTTCAAAAATAAAACAGTGCCTCGTGCACCGATCTGGATAACGGCATTAAAGAAAGCAATAAGATGTAAACAACTTATCTCACCTTCTTTGATTTCATGTTGATACATTGGGAAAAAAAACGACGCAAAAATTTCAAATGGAATGAATCGGAAACGTGTCGTCTGTGTCAAACATGGAGGCGTCTCGGCATTTCAAACGACAAAAGACGGCGCAATTTTTATTGTGGAACAAATCAATGTATAAAGTAGGGCTATACCGAATAGTGATTTTCACTATTCGGCCGAATACGAATAGCTGGACCAAGTATTCGGCCGAATACGAATACGAATAGTGAATCATCATCATCAGGTGCTTTGCCGACTGGTATGGGCGACTATGCCTCGCCACAATCTGCGATCTCCTGCAGCATGTATTAGTTCGTGTGCTGATACACCTCCATGCCATGTAACAAGACTGTCAAGAATCTGTTCTTCCTCTATCCATCTTCCACATATCTTTCCAGTGGTCACCACATGTTCCATTTTCCCTCATCTTATAACATGGCCGAAAAATGATGGCTGTCTCCTTCTGGTGTCTGTGAGTAGTTGTGTTCGGGCTCCCGCCTCTATCAAAACTTCTTGGTTTTTTTTTTTTTTTTTTTTGCTGTCCAAGGTATTTTAAGCATTGTTATGTAATACCACATCTCTGAGCACCGCTCGCCTCGGTTCGATGTTCGTTCACTAGTCTTCTTGAAGTGAGCACTGCCCGACCCAGTTCATTGCTGGTTTACCAGCTCCTTCTTGTAGTAAGCACCGCTCACCCCAGTTCGATGTTCGTTCACTAGTCTTCTTGTAGTGAGCACTGCCCGACCCAGTTCATTGCTGTTTTACCAGCCATCTTGTAGTAAGCACCGTTCGCCCCAGTTCGATGTTCGTTCACTAGTTTTCTTGTTCTAAGCACCGCTCGCCCCAGTTCGATGTTCGTTCACTAGTCTTCTTGAAGTGAGCACTGCCCGACCCAGTCCTTTGCTGGTTTACCAGCCTTCTTGTAGTAAGCACCGCTCGCCCCAGGTCAGTGTTCGTTCACCAGTCTTCTTAAAGTAAGTTTTCTTGTTCTAAGCACCGCTCGCCCCAGTTTGATGTTCGTTTACCAGTCTTCATGTAGTGAGCACTGCTCGCTCCAGTGTATTGCTGGTTCACTAGTCTTCTTGTAGTAAATACTGCCGGCGCCAGTTCGATGTAGGTTCACCAGTCTTCTTGAAGTGAGCACTGCCCGACCCAGTCCATTGCTGGTTCACCAGTCTTCTTGTAGTGAGCACTGCTCGTTCGAGTTCATTAGCGGTTCACAAGTCTTCTTGTTGTGAGCACTACTTGCCCCAGTTCATTGCCTGTACACCAGTCTTCTTGCAGTGAGCACTGAACGCCCCAGTTTGATGTTCGTTCACCAGTCTTCTTGTAGTGAGCACTGCTTAACCCAGTTCATTGCTGGTTCACCAGTCTTCTTGTAGTGAGCACCGCTCGTCCCAGTTCGATGTTCGTTCACTAGTCTTCTTGTAGTGAGCACCGCTCGCCTCAGTTCGATGTTCGTTCACTAGTCTTCTCGTAGTGAGCACCGCTCGCCCTAGTTCGATGTTCGTTCACCTGTCTTCTTGTAGTGAGCACCGCTCGCCTCAGTTCGATGTTCGTTCTTTAGTCTTCTCGTAGTGAGCACCGCTCTCCCCAGTTCGATGTTCGTTCGCCAGTCTTCTTTTAGTGAGCACCGCTCGCCCTAGTTCGATGTTCGTTCACCAGTCTTCTTGTAGTGAGCACTGCTTAACCCAGTTCATTGCTGGTTCACCAGTCTTCTTGTAGTGAGCACCGCTCTCCCCAGTTCGATGTTCGTTCACCAGTCTTCTTGTAGTGAGCACCGCTCTCCCCAGTTCGATGTTCGTTTACCAGTCTTCTTGTAGTGAGCACCGCTCGTCCCAGTTCGATGTTCGTTCACTAGTCTTCTCGTAGTGAGCACCGCTCGCCCTAGTTCGATGTTCGTTCACCTGTCTTCTTGTAGTGAGCACCGCTCGCCTCAGTTCGATGTTCGTTCACTAGTCTTCTCGTAGTGAGCACCGCTCGCCCTAGTTCGATGTTCGTTCACCTGTCTTCTTGTAGTGAGCACCGCTCGCCTCAGTTCGATGTTCGTTCACCTGTCTTCTTGTAGTGAGCACCGCTCGCCCTAGTTCGATGTTCGTTCACCTGTCTTCTTCTTGTAGTGAGCACCGGTCGCCCTAGCTCGATGTTGGTTCACCAGTCTTCTTGTAGTGAGCACCGCTCTCCCCAGTTCGATGTTCGTTCACCAGTCTTCTTGTAGTGAGCACTGCTCAACCCAGTTCATTGCTGGTTTACCAGCCTTCTTGTAGTAAGCACTGTTCGCCTCAGTTCGATGTTAGTTCACTATCCAGGGTATTTTAAACATTGTTCTGTAATACCACATCTCTGAGGCTTCAAGAAATTGTTATGCCTGCATACCGATTGTCCAGGACATACAGCCATATTTTAACAATGGATGTATGTAGCAAGCAAGAATTCTTTTTCTAACCTTCAATGACAAAGATATATTGCATAAGAAGTTCTTCATTTTATAAAATACAGTTTTTGCCTGTCCTATTCTGTTTCTTATTTCTTCTTCTTCTTCTTCTTCTTCTTCTTCTTCTTCTTCTTCTTCTTCTTTGCGTTCGGTTTCGTATGCTCAGATCAGACCATCAGGTGGGTTGCCTCTATAAACTCACATGTCAGCTGCAGGTCCTGCAAGGTTCCTCATGGCTTGCTCTGCGCACTTTGCTCTTGAGGCCAGGTGTCTTTTAGAAGTTGCAGGTAGAGTGGGCAGGTCTGTAGAATGTGCTGAGGTGTTTGTGGTCCTGTCTGACAGGCACACTGTGGGGACTGCACAATCTTTATTTTATGCATGTGGTAGTTGAGCCTGCAGTGTCCTGTTCGTAGACGGAAAATTGTTGTATGTTGCTTTCTGTTGAGTCTGCTGATGGGGTCTTGTGGATGTTTACTGTTAGTTTGTTCTCTCCCCAATCCTTGGTATTTTCCTTTGATAAGTGTTTTGATTTCTGGTAATGACAATGAATGGGCGTGTTGTTTCTTCTTTATTCCATTTTTTGCAAGTCTGTCTGCTAACTCATTTCCTGGTATGCCGCAGTGAGCCGGGATCCACTGGAGAACGATTTGATTGTTTTTTGTTAGTCTGTTTAGCTGACGGGTCAGTTCTCTTTCTATGTTGTCTCGTGGATCCCTATGAGTCGCCTGGAGGACTGTGACGTGACGGTGGTATTTAATGGTTTGTAATGTTGAGTAGGAATGTTCCTCTCAACACATTCCCTCCACCAGATTAACGGAACTATAATCTGAGCTATGTTGCTCTCAGACACAGTCCTGGATACCCAAGAAAACAACCATATTGGCTCGTTAAGTACTTTAACATTAGCTGCACTTGGTACCCACAAGAGAAGGCAAGGAATTTTAGATGTCTATCATACTTAATGAATAATTAGACAGGGCAAGTGATTCCTCCGTCATCTACCTTCTCCCGGTTTTATTATGAATAATTAAAGAATTATTATATTATTTGAGCCCCCACCAAATGGTATTCTATCTTAACAGTTTACTTAAACATGTAAGAACAGACATTTGGAATTTAACAAACTATGTAGTTTAAAACTTGACATACAGCTTTATTTACTACAATGAAATTCCCAGTTTGTTGATTTACACAAACAGTGACTGGTTAACGTAAAGAGGTTTTAAGCGTCAGCGAGACAAACAGCTCGGGGTTTAGAGTGGTATGATAATGATGATAATAGGTTAACATAAAGGGGTTAACTCAACTTATAAGCCTCTGACAGCCGTGAGGAACTGTCAAGCTTGTCCAACTCTTCCTTGCCTGTTGTCTGCCTGTTTCAGCTTATTCTCCACTTCATCCCCACCTCGTTCTCCACCTGGTTCCCAGCTGGCCGAGTCTAACACAATGTAGGCTACTTCATGGACTGATCGTCACATGGGCGCTGTAATCATGGAAACAAAACACATACGTGTAGTATCTTGACTTACACTAAGAATACATGTATCAATTAATACAACATATAATAATAAGATATAGCCCATCACTCCTCCTCATATTCCACATCCTCTCCAGTCTAGTCTGAAGGTCTTTTGTCTTACATGGGCGTCACATATCCTGCCTTCCCTCAAATGCTATGTCATGATAGTTGACTTTCTAAGTCTGTTGTCCGTCTTCACTCAGACTTCGAGTTGGCTGACATAGATATTACATGACCACGTGGAGCAGGTTATGTGCTGAAAACTCAAACATTATATATGTGCACGCTGTCCTGAATATTATCTTTCAGTGACAGTAAATACTGTACACCCATCATTCTCCCCCTGGTGAACACATTAAGTGAGCACATGGTGGGCACACAAAACGTAGCAGCATCCCTGCACATATTTGGGCATCATTTCCCACAGTCCCAACTCATATTTTGGCTGATCGTGAAAACAATATAATTACATTTCATTATAGCAAATGTCATTGTTCACATCTTATTTTATACACATGAAAACATACAATGAAAAACATGTGACACAAACATACAGGAAATAGGAATAGTTTAGCAGTTCCTTAACTTGAGATACTGAATACTCACAGAACTATTTCAAGCAGAATGTGCAGACAAATTAGGAAAAGGTAGTATAGACTAAGCTTAACTCCCTAACCTAAGTATACAAGATTAAAAAAAAATTAATATTTTCTCTCACCTGGGAACTTCCCATTTATCGCCAAACCAGAGTACGACAGTAAAATATACCTTTACGTCGACCTGTTTGTTTGCCGGCAGGCTGCGATTAATGACGGGAATTCCACAGGCTCGCAGTATAAGTATTAATCTATTGTCCAAATTAAAACTCCTCCCTTTCCTTAGTTTTTACCCAACCCTCAAGATGATGGCTTAAGCTCCTCCTCCGAAGTACCTATCAAATCACATTAGCTAACAAGTGGCCTGTCAGTCAATTATGGACTGACATCCCTAGAGCAAACATTCTTAAGTGCCCCAATCTAGTTTACCCCGAATTACACTGA